TGTCAAATGCCTTAAAGGTAAAATGACATCAGTGAATAAGAAAAGCGCCACTAGAAGTTCTAATTTATTAGAGCTCATTCACACTGACATTAGTGGTCCTTACTCTATCACTGACATAACTGGACATAACTCATTTATAACTTATATTGATGATTATTCTCGTTATATGTACTTGTATCTTATTAAGGAAAAGTCTGAATCACTTACAACTTTTAAAGATTATAAAATTGAAGTTGAAAAACAACTTGATCGTCAGATAAAAGTTGTAAGATCATGTTAGTCGGTTTAGTCGTTGTGCCCACGTCTTAGAGGGGGGGGGGGTGAATAAGGCGTTTAAAATCTTTTCGGAGTTTGATAAAAACGGTGTTGGCAAATGCGGAAGCAATATATAAAACGCAGAAATAAAGGCGTAAATAAAATGCATACCGATTTTATACTGGTCCGGGAAACCCCTACTCCAGTACCTCGAGGCTCCTTCTCAAGGATTTCCGAATCCACTAAGTCCCGGCCTCTTGAACTCCGTCAAAGCACCGCACTAGTTTTGGAAAACAACCCTTGCCAATAGGATTCACTCCGAGATTTCACAACGGCTATCTCGAACCGTTTACAATGAAGATTTAACGGCTATCTTCTACCGTTCCCCTAAGGATTTCAAAGGCTATCCTTGAACCTTTACCCAAGGATTTAAACGGCTATCCTCGACCGATACAATATGAGAATTTAACGGCTATTCTCGACCGTATAAAGATGTGTTTGAAGAACACAAACAAGAGTTCTACACAACGGCTTGAATATAAAAATGAAGAACAAAACTTAGCCGGTGTAGAAGGAAGGTATACTCTCTCAAGAATACAATTCAAACTTATGAATATGAGAGTATATAACTAGAAACACAAGCTCAAAGTGTGTGTATAAAAATCAGGAATTTAAGGCTCTTAAAATAGCCAAAATATTGAAAATAGTTAATAAAAGGATGTAACACCCCGGCCCCCACCCTAGCCGTAAGTGTCCGCTTATAGGATTGTAGACTGGCCCCACAAACCAACACAAGTGTTTCCCGCCCACTTTGTCCTCACTCGTGCACGCCCAAGGAATTTTCCAGGGGGTCACCCATCCTAAAATTGCTCCAGGTCAAGCACGCTTAACTTTAGAGTTTTTAGGTGATGAGCTCTCGAAAAGAAGATGCACCTTGTTGGTATGAGTAGTACTATCAATCCTTTTGAGCTCTTCCTATTTCCATCTTGATACGGGGTATTACATTCACCCCCACTTAGAAATGCAACGTCCTCGTTGCATCCTTTTTTTTGAACCCATAGATCCTCCCCGCTATGTGAACTAAGCTCTTTTGGCCCGTCACGGTCGCAGGGTTGCTCCGATAGCATTTGTAACACCCCGGCCCCCACCCTGGCCGTAAGTGTTCGCTCATAGGATTGTAGACTGGCCCCACAAACCAACACAAGTCTTTCCTGCCCACTTTGTCCTCACTCGTGCGCGCCCAAGGAATTTCCCAGGGGGTCACCCATCCTAAAATTGCTCTAGGTAAAGCACGCTTAACTTTAAAGTTCCTAGGTGACGAGCTCTCGAAAAGAAGATGCACCTTGTTGGTATGAGTAGTACTATCAATCCTTTTGAGCTCTTCCCATTTCCATCTTGATACGGGGTATTACAAAGGATGAACACACTTAGAATAAAAAGAGAGGATGTTTAGAGCTTTGTTTCTTAAAGAAATATGAAGGATTAGGCTTGTATTTCTAGTGGAAGATGTTAATTAGCCGTTGGGAGGTGATTAGGGTTGATTTAATTCAAATTGGCAATTTTGCTACAGTGCTGTAACGGATCTGGTACCCTTCACGGTAGGGGGGTCCGTGTCATCCGGTACCTAGGTACCGTGACACGGTACGGCCTACCGTGTGGGGGTACCGTATAGGCCAAAATAAGTTTTCGCCTCTGGCGGTACCGGGTTAGGACGGGGTGGCCTACCGTCTGTGCCTACCGTACGGTTTTAAACATATTTTGTGAGTGCTTTTGAGCTTGTGAATATATGTATATAAAGTCATATCCTTACATTGGTTTCTACCTATATTCTACGCTAGTTTAGTGTTTCGACTTCATTCTTGAGTACCGAATCTTAATGGATTCTTGTTGTACCTGAAACACTTAAACAAACGTCAAACTCTTATATTGTTTGTTAACATCAAAACATGAGACTTAGCAAACCAAGGCTAACAGATCACATTGAGGAGGTGAATATTATGGTAGACATACTGATGTGGGTCAAGCTCCTGGTCCATTTTATGAGTTTTGTAAGGGCCAGGGGATCGTGAACCAATATACTATGCCTGGTACTCTTCAGCAGAACGGTGTTTGTTAGAATAAAGGCCCAACGCTAGAGGGGGGGCGAATAGCGTTTAAAACAAAATCGCAGGAATTTAAAACGAGAGCGTTGAAGTAAAGTGCGTAAGGAAGGAACACTCCGGATTTTATCCTGGTTCACCACAACGTGTGGCTAATCCAGCCCCCCGAGAGACTCTCTCGAGATACACTAACTCCGTTAAGCTTAAGGGTGCTTAACAAACCGATACAACTTGAGAACCCGAGTCACACGAGCCTCAACACCTTTGCTCGGAGATACCGCACTCCATGACTTCTTACGAAGGAACAAGGAACTTCCTTCGAGTTTACAACAAGGGAACAACCTCCCTTAAAGTGTATGAAAACACTTAAACACTCAGGAATAAAACTCTCACAAAGAGTAGATATGAGTGAACTAGTAAACGCTCAAGAACACGACAATTTCTTCAAGAATTGGCTCTCAAATAGCTAAGAAAAAATAGGAATGCTTATGCAATGAAAGAGTATTGAAATGTTGAAGAATTGTGTTTCAAATGAGAGGATTTGGGTGCCATTTTATAGCCCAAAATGGGATAAACCCGTTGCTAGAATTTCCAACAGGATGA